TATGTAAAAATGTGGATGTGTAACCGATGTGATTCTACAATCTGTATTTGGGGTAAAAATGGGAGTTCATAACCCACTTGAATCTAATGTACGAAATATGATATGTCAAGAGCTTTGTAATGTTGTGAACAACCAATAAAAAAAAAAGATGCTGTTGTCCTAAATTATCTTTAGGATTAGTACAATCCCAAGAAAATCCAACCACGTTTGAATGAACTTGAGCAACTAATAGTAAAATATGCAAAGAAGTTGAATTGTCCAAACAATCTTGAAAAAAAAAGAACAAAATTGGAGGAATCATACTTTGCAATTTTAAAACAGAACTGAGCCCAGAAATAAATTATGGTAAATTGGGTGCCAGAAGAATTGAATGTTTTTCTAATTCTTCTTACTTATACATGACAGTAGATAAAATTATACAAGCATAGGTTATTATCTTATTCTAATTATGACCCCATTCTTGTGGGTAGACATGATGGTGGGGTTCACTTAGGTGATTTCATATGTATACTTAGGAAAATTGTGTTAGTTTTATTTTACTGTCTTTCCTATTCTTATACCTCCTCCCTTCCTTTCATTCCCCTTTGTCTAATCTACTGAACTTCTCTTCTTCCCCTCCTCTCCTTTATTGTAGGTTTACCTTCCACATATCAGCAAAAACATTTGATCTTTGGTTTGGGGGGACTGGCTTATTTCACTTAGCAGTATATTCTCAAAACACATCCATTCACTGGCAAACGTCATAAAGTCAAACTAAAAAGCTTCTTCACAGCAAAGGAAACATCAAGAGTATGAAGAGACAGCCCACAGAATGGTAAAAAATCTTTGCCACCTGCACCTCAGAGAAGGCATTAATTTCCAGAATATATAAAGATCTCAAAWATCTTAAATAACAACAAAAATAACCCAGTCAATAAATGGGCAAAGGAACTGAACAGACCCTTCTCAAAAGAAGAAATATATTCATATTTCTATGGCTATAGTTCAATAAATATATGAAAAAATGTTCAACAACTCTGGCAATTAAAGAAATGCAAATTAAAACTACACTGAGACTCCATCTCACTCCAGTAAGAATGGCAATTATCAAGAATACAAGTAAAACCAAATGTTGGCAAGGATGTGGAAAAAAGGGAATGCTCATACATTGCTGGTGGGACTGCAAATTGGTGCAACTATTCTAGAAAACAGTATGGAGATTCCTCAGAAAACTTGGAATGGAACCACCATTTGACACAGTTATCCCACTACTCAGCATAACCCAAAAGATTTAAAATCAGCACACTACAGTGACAAAGCCACATCAATGTTTATAGCAGCACAATTCACAGTAGCTAAGCTACTGTAACCAACCTAGATGCTCATCAACAAATAAAGGGGTAAAGAAATTGTGGTGTATATATACACAATGGAATATTACTCAGCCATGAAGCAGAAAGAATTTATGACATCTGCCATTAAATGGATGGATCTGGAGACTATTGTGCTAAGTGAAGTAGCCAACCCCAGAAAACCAAAGGTCTAATGTTCTCTCTGATATGTGGATGCTAACCACAACAAGGGAGATGAAGGGAAGAACAGAAGTTCAGTGGATTAGACAAAGGGGAATGAAGGGAAGGCAGGGGTCATGCAAATGGGAAAGATAGTGGAAAGAATCTGACATAACTTTCCTTTGTGTGTGTGTGTGTGTGTGTGTGTGTGTGTGTGTATATATATATATATATGAATACACCACAGTGACTCTCACCATTGTGTACATCCACAAGACTGCAACCATAATAAGATATATTCCATGTTTGTATAAATTTTAAAAATAAATTCTACTGTCATGTTTAACTAAAAAGAACAACTAAAAACTTTTTAAATTTATTTCCAATGTATTTAATAAAAGAGTATACCTTTTCTATTTCATGGCAAAACTGCAGTATTCAATTAGCAAACTAAACATTACTACCCAAAATGAAAATCTCAAAAGAGTTTTATCTATTCCCATTAGGTCAGGCAATTCTTTTTTTTTTTTTTTTTTGTGTTTTTTTGTTTGTTTTTTTTTTTTTTTATTGGTCGTTCATAACATTACATAGTTCTTAATACATCATATTACACGGTTTGATTCAAGTGGATTATGAANCGCTTCCTTCCCCTTCTGAGAACCCGTGCTCGGCCCAAGGGTCCGTGBGGGCTTGGCTGGTGGGATTCCACCTAATGGCCTTCCCTAACCTCCCTGCTTGCCAATTCTAGGTCAGGCAATTCTAAAACAATACTTTATAATTCAATAACCCACGTTTATCCTACATATTTCTACCAATTAAATGCATATATAACACCATAATTGTATTATCTGAACTGGAAATAATTTTAGAGTCAGTCTGAAAAGTTCTAAGAAATTAACCTATTTCCAGTGTTTCAGTCATTAAAACACTTCTCCTGTGGCAACTAGTAAATTTCCATCAATTCACAATTTAGACTTCCAATAGCAAAGACTACCTATGTAATTATCAACCCCTTGCCCTCCTCTTGGGCATAAAGAAACTAGACTTCCCAGGTACTAAGCAGTTATGTTAGAATCCACCTATAACTAGTTTTGAACAACAGAATGAAGCCAAAAGTAACATCCCTTCACTTCCAAGTCAGGGCTCAACAAAATCCTCAACTTGCCAGACACAGTGGCCCATCCCTATAATTACTCCAGCAACTCAGGAGGCTAAAGCAGAAGGATCACAAGTTCAGACTAGCTTCAGCAACTTAGTGAGACCCTCAGGAACTTAGCAATAACCTGTCTCAAAACAAAAACAAAAATAAAAAAAAAAGGATAGGGATGTAGCTGATGTATCTCAGTGGTAAAGTACCCCTGGGTTCAATCTCCAACATACAAAAAGTAAAAAATTCTCAACTTGAGCTCACCCATGTTCCCAGTCTGTGCAGCTAGAAGGTAAAACAGAGTGCTGACATAATGGAAAATGTCCAGGTCCCTGAGTCATCTCTTGGAGAAGAACCATTAAACAGCATCAGAATATGACATAACAGAGAAGTAAACTTATACTGCCATAAGCCTCTGAGAATTCAGGATTGTTACAGTAATTTTCATTAACTGCCTTGATTAACACCTTTAAGTAATACCTCTACTTTAAAAGGAAACATTATTACACTATCCATAAGTACAAAACCAGTATTTTTCTAACAATATATCCAAATAAACATTTAACTATGACAATTTAAAAAAAAACATTCAGCTATGCATCACCTAAAATCATATCATATATAAAAGAAATTTTTAAAGTAATATAGAGGGCTGGGGTTGTGGCTCAGATGAGAGAGTGCTTGCCTAGCAAGTATGAGACACTGGGTTTGATTCTTAGCACCACATATAAGTAAATAAATAAAGGTCAACTAAAAAAAATTTTTTAAAGTAATATAGAGTTCCGTCTTCCACAATTGTGAGGAAAGCATTCATGAAATGAAGATAGCAAAGAAATAAATCTTTTGGGGAAAAGAGTTACCTTATTAACTGCGTCTCAACTGTACCTTTTTTAAAAAATTAACAAAGAATAAAAGCTATAATACATAAGGATGCTAATAACTAAATATCTAGCAATCTTCTCATTTTATCACTTACCTATCCCTATAACATATGAAGAACATGAAATCTACATTTTTAACATCTTAATAGGTATTTTTCTAATATCCTTTATTTCTTATTTCTAATCAATTTTCAAAAGCCCATTATCTTACTCCATTTTAAATCTGTTTAATTACAAGCTAGTTAGAAACTATGTTTAATATATATATACCAAGTTGTGAAATGACTTTTTCAAACTGTTCCATTACTAGATCGAAACTTTTCAGAATATATAACTGAAAATAACACCATAATTCTGTAACCTACCAGAAAGTTTCTGAGATCAAGTATTTTTTTAAAGGAACTCTTACATTGAGCAGATATACTCCATATATGAATTAAATATAAGCTCCCTTTCCACAATCCCCAAGTACTTATTTTTAAGATGTCTTACTAGTCTTAAGGAAAAAAGTCATAAAGTTTTATTATTTTTACTACAAAAGAAAATATTCCAAGTTCTAGTTTGGGCAAATACCTACCAACTAACATGAACTTTTCTATACAGTTGGGTTATATTATCAGAGGATGGACAATTTATAATAAAAATAAATTAATAGGATTCTAAATAAGAAAGTCTAAACTCTGCTATATTCATTATCAAAATGCTTCTATCACATTAAGAAAAAAAGAGACCTTGCTTTAAATGCTGAATCCCTATATTTTTCACTCTTTCAAAAGTTAAATATAATTTAGTTTATTTTAAAACAAATCCATGGAAACAGCATACTTATCAGGTTTCCTTTTGCATCCCTGAGAGGAGCACCACCTCCACCTTTCCCCCAAGGATTGTAAATTCTCATTTCAGCTTCCAATTTAGCTTCATATTCTTCTTTTTCTTCACGTTCTCTTCTCCTCCTTTCTTCTCGCTCCCGAATCTTGACAACATAAGATATATTTAAAATAAGTACTGACAAGTATGCTGATACAAGTGGTTAGTAACACCAGATATTTTATTTTTCTGATTTAGAAAGAAAAAAATACCTGTAGGTTTTTTTTTTTTCAGTACATCTCACTGTAAAGTTTAAAATCAAAAAATATATCCAACACCCAACTTAAAAATACCTTAACGGCTACAATATATATCCTTCCCATCCCAGAAACTAAACCCACATGAAACTTAACCAACTCCTCCCTTTCTCCCCTACTTCTATCCTGATCATTTCTTTCCCAATCTCACCAGTGTTATGGGACCATTAGGATCTCCTTTCTTTCCTTTTCTATATACCTTTTCATTGGAAGCATCTGGCCACAAAGTCTAATCTCTACCTCATCAAACCTACTCTTTCTAGGTAAAAGTCTATTCCCAGAATTCAGAGAGGTTGAAGGTTCAAAGTAAGTACAGATTTATGAAACACACAAAAAAAATACTTTTTTTTAATCACCAAGTATAAATACAAGATTGTTCTCTAGAGACATATGGATAGGCAATGAACAACAATCTACATTTTGGAAAGTCATTTTTAAATTCAAAACCATATGGTAAATCTAGGCACTCTTTCATTGTAGCAGAGGTAAAGAAGTCATCACATACATGCCAGACTTCTAGAGTTGGTAAATATAGGTTTGTCAGTGGTAATATGCTCATTCAATCCTAACATAAAAAAAGTAATGGTGCTTATACTATAACTTTAAAAAAAAACTATCTTTTATCTTTTCAGAGGTTCCCCATGTAAAAGTTAAATAGAAGTATTTTAAGATATCCCAAGTAGAACTTTATAGAAAAACTACCTTAGTTTAGCTAGATATATAGAGATCCTCATAGATCTCTAAGAAGAGTCCTAGGGCTCTCCCAGATATAAAAGAATTGAAAAACAACAATAAAAACATCTATACATTAGATAGTTACTCTTAAATAAACTCTCTTCAAGCATTACAAACCATAATCAAATCTATTATTTTCTCTCCCTAAACATATTCTACTACTTGCATCCCCTTTCTTGATTTATAATCTCATTATTCTCCTAAATTATAACTCCCAACACTCAGAATCATCTTCAAGCCCTCTGTTCTTTCTCATTCACTATAACTAAGTCCTGTCAATGAAACCTCAGAACTGTCTCTTGGATGTCCTTCTGCTTCTCCATCTGGCTCAGGGCCTCATCACCTCCTGACTGGACTACTTTAGTAGTTCACTGGATTTCTTTGCCACATCTCTTTGCCAATTGTTCACATCACAAGTTATCTTCCTAAAAGTCAGATTTGTTTACATCAACTAATCCTTTGACTTTTCTCAGATTAAAATTTCCTTCTTTTGACTGTCCATAACAAGAACCACCTGAGAGCTCTTTATTACCTAATCCTTCACAATCCAGCACAATCTAACTCTTCGCCCAAAACAATTTAATTCTCCTATATGCCAGAAATGTCTGACTTTTTCACCATACAAATGCAGCTCAACCATTAACTACCATGTGAAGCCTTCCCAGTAACCCCAGGTGATTACTCTCCCTATTCTATGCTTTCCACAGCATTTCAGTATATCTACTTCAAAACTTATTACATTGAATTATAACTATTTTTTCCCTGCCTTGCCATACTCTGAGTTCTAAGGGACTATTGTGTTAACAAAAAAGATGTCTGACACAAAATGAATAAGTAAATACCTGCTGCTGCAAAGCTTCTTGATAAGACTGAAGTGATTGTTTAGAAGGCTTTGGTTTATCTTCAAAGACCAATCCTGAATTTACTGTTCGATCATTTGTAATTTTCAGTTCATTCTGTCCAACTGTATTGCTGCATCAAATAAACAATTAATTTGAATTCACCTATCATTCAAGAATAAGAAAATCCAAGAAGAAAATGCAACAGTCCTTTGAAACAGATCAGCATATAAAAACATCTTAAAATAGAGGGCATTTCTCTATAGGTCATTTCTCTAATGTAACCTCTTCATAAATTCTTCCCTCCTGTCTCTGTTTTGACAAACCATGAAACTTTCAAATACCTGATCTATTTCTTGACCTAGGTGATTGTTACTTGGAAGTGAAAACACTTTGGGATAATTCATCAAGAAGTTATACAGAATTTAGGCACTTTTCTGAATATATAAAAATAAATACACAAAGGAAATCCCTCAAGTAACACCATAACAAATAATGGTTTACTTAGTAAAATGTTTACTTATTAAAAATTACTTTCTATCCATTTCAAAAATAAAACAATATAATGTGAAAAGTTAGACTTTTCCAAATAGAATGGGTTTAAGGAAGTATGTAGTCAGATTAAGGTTCAGGAAGAAAGGAAGAAATGGTAGGGGTATTAATTATATATACAGATCAATAATTTTTAGCAAATTTACAGAGTTGTGCCATCATCACCACAATCTAGTTTTAGAACATTTCCATAATCCACAAAATATCCCTTAAATCCATCTCAACCAATCCCCACCCCTCGCTCCCTCCAATCACAAAGTAGCCTGATTGCTGTCTACAGATTTTCTCTGTCTGAACATTTTATATAAAAGGAACCACACAATATGTATGGATTCCTTCAATGATCATATTTTTGAGGTTGCTCTGTTATATCAGTAGTTCGATCCTTTCTATTGCTAAATAGTATTTTCACTGCCTGGATATAAAATATTTTCTTTATCCATATTCACAAGTTGATGGACATACAAACTGTTTCTACTTTTTGATTTTATGAAAATTCAAAACAAGTCTTTGTAGGTATGTTTTACTTGATTGTATGCACAGGAGTAGAATACAGTAACTTTTTATTTAAGAAACTGCCATGTCCTACAACTATTTTTATATATTAATTTTGTATTCAGTAATTCTACTAAAACTCTTATTAATTCTATTATTTTATCTGCATATGCTTTTATAAATAGTACTATTTTTCTCTCTTCTTTTCTCATCCATGTATCTATGTCCTTTCTTTCTCTATAAATCTGCTCCACATACAATTAGGCTATGAAAAAAAGCGGTGTTAGAACAATCTCAAAAATAATGTTTTAAATGTATCATCATTAAAATAATGATATAGATTTTTCATATTTATACTTTCATGAGTTATGTATTTAATAGTGATTAAACTAGGAACACTAAATTTTATTAATACCTATTCTGTACTAATTGATAATATCACATAGCTTCCTTTTTTTATTAATGTACTGTAGCAACTAATTTTATAATATTGACTATATCTAACACCAATTAGTATGTCAGACACTGTTCTAGACACTTTACATATTTAATTCATTCAATACTCATTAATGCCCCTATATATTTGCAGAAAGCAAGTGTTTAATAATCTAAGGCAATGTTAACAATTCGGAGAAGCAAAAAACTGACCAATAAAAAAAAGTAAAGAAAAAAATGTGGGAAAGGTATGTTTATAGAGTCACTAAAAGCTCCAACATATATCTGGGAAACTAGAAAGCCACATTCAGTGCATCTGGTCAGTGCTCAGAAAGACTCCAAGAATAATTTCTCACCTCTGGCTGGCATAGAGGTTCTCTATATACAGGAAGTAAAAGCTAAAGCAAAGGTATAAACTGCCTGCATACTGAAGGCTTGTCTCAATACACACACAGAACCCCTTGGCAAAAGCTGAGAGACTTATTGGTTCAAGACCTTTACAGAAATCTCAGTCCAACCACAAGCTTACCTATTAAGCTAACCTAAAAGGGGCTTCAGTGATTAACTAGCCACAAGAGGTACTTAAAAAATAGCCAGGAAAACAAAAAACAACAAACAGTAATAAAAATTAGGCATGTGGAGGAAAGAGCTTCTAAATGTATGGTTTTCAACAAACAAATTACAAAACTTGAAAAAAAAAAAAAAAAGGAAGTATGGGCCACTTGCTGGAGGAAAAATAGTCAATACAAAGCCTGAAAAATCCTACACTTTAGATTTACTCAACATAGTTTTTAAATAGCTGTTAGAAATACATCAAAAGAATTAAAACATAATAGAAATGATAGAGTTAAAAAGGATAAAAATTTCAGATAGAGCAAAGGGGTGGGAGGGAAAGGAAGGGAGCATGGGGGTAAAAAAGACAGTGGAATGTGACAGTCATCATTACCCTAAGTACATGTATGAACACACGAATGGTGTGAATATACTTTTTATACAACCAGAGATATGAAAAATTATGCTTTATGTGTGTAATATGAATTGTAATGCATTCTGCTATCATATATATAACAAATTAGAATTTTTTAAAAATCAGGAAAAAAAGTATAACAACTGATAATTTTTAAAAAGTCTCTAGAGGAACTCAACAACAGATCTGAACAGGCAGAAGAAACAATCAGTGAATTTGAAGTCAGGTCAACTGAGATTTTCTAGTCTAAAATGCAAAGAAAAAGACTGAAGAAAATGAGCAGAGGGCTGAGGATATAGCTCAGTTGGAAGAGTGCTTGCCTTGCGTGCACAAGGCCCTGAGTTCAATCCTCAGCACCACAAAAAAAAAAAAAAAAAAAAAGAGCAAAGCCTTAGAAACATTGTAGAACACACCATCAATTGAACCAATATATGTGTAACAGGAGTCTCAGAAAGTAAAGAAACAGAGAAAAGGACATAAAGAATATTTGAAGACATACACAAAATAAAAAGAATACTTGAAAAATAATGGTCAAAAATTTGATGAAAAATATTTATACATCCATTAAGCTCATCAAACTCCAAGTAAGAAAAACTCAGAAATTCACAACTACATATATCAAAAACTGCTAGAAGATAAAAACAAAGAGCAAATCTTGAAAACAGCAAGAGAATAAACAACTGTTCATCATATACAAGGAATTCTCAGTGAGATTAACAGTTCATCAAAAACCACAATGGACTGAAGATGGGGGAATGATAAATTCAAAGAGCTAAAACAAAAGTCTGTTAACCAATATAATTCTATATCCACCAAAACTACCTTTCAAAAATGAAAAACTAAGATACTAATAAATCAAAACTTAAATTATTCCCAACATACCTGTTCCATAAGAAATATTAAATATTAAAAGAGCCCTTCAGGTAAAATCAAAGAATATATAACAGTAACCAAGGAAACACAAAATAAGAGCAACAGTAAAGGTAATTATATATACAACCAAAAGATATTACAAATGTACTAATGCTCTAACTCTTTGATTTAAAAGGCAACTGGATAAAGCAAAAATTTCCAAACTATGTTGATGAGATTAAATATACTAAGATGTAATCTGACAATAATAGTACCAAGTAGAGGAAAAGGAATGGTATTATATTGAAGAAAAAGTTTGTATATTAACTTGGGATTAATCCAAACTCAATTATTCTAAATTAAGATATTAATTTTAATCTGAGCAAAGCCACAAAAACATAGAATTATACTAAAAGAAACAAGGGATATAATGCTATTAAATTTTTAAAACAAAAAGTCCCTTAATTAGGGGCTATTAACAATGATTCCTCCCTTAGGAATAGAAAAACAAAATTTACATAAAACATATAGGAAAAAAATAGTAAAATGAAAGATAAAAATTCTACCTTAACAAGAATTACACTAAATATAAACACTGGCCAATGCTAGAAGAATGGGTAAAATAAATTTTAAAAAATAAATAAAAACAAAACTACAGCTGTCATTTTGTCTACACAAAGAAATCTTTTGGAGTCAAATAAATTGAGGGCAAATTTGGAAAATGTTGTTCAAGGATACAGACAGACATTTATACCAAGGAAACAGAATAGAAAGCCCAGAAATAAACTCTTATATGGCCAAATAAGGGAAAAGATGTTCAATATCACTAAATCATTAGGGAAATGCAAATCAAAACTACAATGAAATACCACCCCAAACATTAGGATGACTAATATTAAAAAAAAAAAAAAAACAGAAAATAGCAAGTTGACAAGTATGTGGAGAAACTGGAACCCCTATATCCTGGTGGTAAGAACAGAAGATAGTATAGCTAATGTGAAAAACAGTACAGTCAGTCGTTCCTTAAAAAAGAAAAAATTCAGGAGGTTGGGGACTCAGGACCTTGTGCAAGCTAAGTAAGGACTCTACCACTAAGTCACAGCCTCCAGTTGCATTAAAAATGTTTTTTAAAGAATTACAGCCAGGTATAGTGATACATGCCTATAATCCCAGCGACTTTGGAGGCTAAGGCAGGAGGACAGCAAGTTAAAAGCCTACCTCTGCAACTTAGCAAGGCCCTAAGCAACTAAGTGAGACCTTGTCTAAAAGTAAAAAATAAAAAAGGGCTGGGGATGTGACTCAGTGGAAAAGCACCCCTGGGTTCAATTCCTGACACCAAAATAATAAATAAAAAAGAATGAACATGATCCCAGCAATTTCATTTCTGTATATATGCCAAAAGAACTGAAAATAGGGTCTCAAGGAAATATCTGTACACTCATGCTACTAAGCAGCATTTTTTGAAACAGCTACAATTTGGAACCCATATATCTATGAATGGATGAATAAACAATATTTATGGTATATAACATGAACTATTATTCATCTTTTTAAAAATTTATGTTTTAGTTGTAGATGGACACAATATCTTTATTTATTTTTATGTGGTGCTGAGGATCAAACCCAGTGCGCACATGTGTGAGGCAAGCACTCTACCACTGAGCTACAGCCCCAGCCCCTATTATTCAGCTTTCAAGTAAGGAAATTCTGATGTGCCATAACAGATGAAAATTAAGAACATATGTTAAGTGAAAAAAAATCAAAAAAAGAAAAATACTGTATGATTCTACTCACATAAGGTATTTACAATTATCAAAAATATTAGAAAATAGAATGGTGACTTATTTTTTTTTAATCATTGGGGTATAATTTCTCATTTTTCTGATTCTACAGATTGCAGAATCACACTGGTCATAGAGTCACCTATATAGAATGGTGACTTATGACGAAAGAAGATTATAAGGGAAGGAGACATGGGGATTATACCATTATTGTTCAATGGATATGTCATTTCAGTTGACAAGTTAAAAAGAGTTCTGGAGATAGTTGCATAACATTATGAATGTATTAAATACCCCTGGAAAAGGTCTGCTTAAAAATGGTTAAGATGTAAAATTTTATGTTATATTTTAACCCATAAAAATAGTAGGGGGAAAAAAAAAGTCTTTTAACTAAAGACTTACATAATAGGTTGTGCTAGTTGTTGGGTGATAGGAGTCCTAATGTAAGCTGCAGGCTGTACTCCCATCATTCCTGAACCATCTGAAAAGAAAAAAGAAGAAAAAAAAAACACATTTATTTCAGAGTACCCTTTTAATAACACTTTATCCCTAAAGTAAAAAGCACATGATGAAATATTTGCTGAGTAAAAGCATCAATATGTTCTTCTGGATTAGGACTTGGTAAAGACCACCACCAGAAAACACAAAATAATTATTTCTTAAATCTAGATGAAAAGGAAATAACTAACAAATATCACTAGGTTATTAAGTGAGTATTGCTATTGGTTCAATTTGATTTGTCCCCTCATGCAGGAGTTTAATCCCTTAAAAGAAATGAGAAAGTGAAAACTTAATTTGACTGTGGTGTTTTTACAGTGAGACTTTTAAAAATTAGATTAGCTTAGGTTATTAGGGTGGAGCCCCCATGATAAACCTGATGGTTTTATAAGGAAAGATTACATGGGCAGAGATCCATGTATACTCCTGCCACAATGGCACCTGGCAGAAGAAGAGGGACCTCACAAGAGCCTGTACATACTGTTTGAATTTTTGGCCTCCAAAACTATGAGCCAAAATAAATATCTTATATAAAGCAGCCTGCTCCGGGTTCTTCATTATAATAACAAAAATGGACTTATACAGATGTTTACTTTATTAAGTTATTCAATATATAATACTTGAATTTAGAAAAGCTGTGGGGTTTTTTTTCATTTATATATTTTTCCCTGCATAAAAATCAATTCCTCTTATGAAACCACTGGAAAAAGATATTTACCCTAGAGATCACTTACAATAAGCAAGATTGGGATCCAAAGTGTTTCTGGCACCATAAAAATAGTATGCATCATCATAAGGAGTTCGATAGTTGGTAACTAGAGGTGGAAGTATGGGAGGTGGAGGTAGAGGTGCAACCCTATATCAAACGAAAAATGGAAAATTCTTCTCATATTTTACTGCAAACATTTAATCAAGATATTATTCTTTTGCAAAAGCATTACTGGAATCCCAATCACTAGTTTAGAAAAAGCCACAATCTTGCTCTAATTCGTCAAAAATTATGATTAAAAAGCAAATCAAATAGCATAAAATTTCACAATCTCAAGTACAACACTTATACAAGAAAAAACAAGCTAATATTCAATCATTTAGTACCCAATAATCATTATGTGCCAACATCAAACAAAAAGAGATACAATCTTTTTCTCTCAGAAATAATTCTGAAAAAAAATTACAATTACAATCAAGTATAGGATATGAAATAAAACAAGTAAACACAAAGTGCTATAGGAATTCAAAGTAGGAATATTTAAACCTCAAGGGAAAAGAGGAAGAAAGCATGGAAAATTTCCATGTTGTTACAGTGAACTACACACACAAAAGAGGAAGGACAGTCCAGGAAGAAAGGGAAACAAGATACAAAACTATATGTTACAAATAATTCCATATGGAGAAAGGGGCATTTTTTTTTAAGTTATAAAACATTCTTTCACAGGAAGTGAACCTAAATGGGAAATAAAAATTACTTAAATATCAACAGTAAAAGTCTTGATGTAATCTTTAGTATTCCATAAACTTAAAACTTCTGAAAAATCTCATCTTCAGCATTTTATTACTAACTAGAAAATAGCTCTGTATTTCCACCCATGCAGTATTTTCTAATACTAAAAATGGCAAAGGGAAATCCTATAAGATAACAGAAAAAGAAAAGGAGCAATCTGAAATATTTTCAGTTTTTAGTTTATCTTAACAGATTCTCCCTTTTTATTATGTACTCCAAAATGATTCTGAAGAGTTAAGAATGCATTAAATTTTCTTCAGTAGTAAATATTTCTCATATTTACTAGTCACTCCATGTGACCTTCACTATCCTCACAACAGATACTTCAACAAAGAAACTAAATAACAATTATGAAAATGAGCTGTTATCACCAACTCCTAAATTTTATGACTTATGTAATATTTAGTCCTCAGAACTCTGTAACTGTAGATAAGAAAAATATTATTATTCCACTTTTACAAATGAAATTTTGACGCTCAACAAAGATGCAGTCTTTTCAAATTCCAGACATGAAGTGAAGCATTATGATCCCTAATCTAATGCTAAAACCACAATGCTCTGTCCTTTAAATTCCCTCCCTGTCTTTTGAGTACAGAAGCCATTAGAGAAAATGAAGCACTTGATAAATACAGTAAACACAGCCCTATGATTTGTTAGTGACAAATAAAAGACCAAGTCCTACTCAAAGAAGAAAGGACAGCCCAGAAATATCAATGCTTTAAAAGTTTTAAAACAAAAACCTATAGATTTAAATACATTATGCAAATGTAAAGCATGTTAACATTAACATTAGTAGTAAACAAAAAATAAGATTGAGTCCTACAAAAAGGAAGTATAAACCAGAAAACAGCAGTTAATAGAATTTTCTTTATATATATAGTCTAGTACAGCATGATGCCTTTTATAGAAATCAAATTTTTACTCTAATACCTAAATAACAGTTTTTATAATCTCCACACTTTTATTCCAGACATTTGGGTTGCATAGCCTCAGAATAATCAGAGAAAGAACTGAAGGAAAAAGAAGCTAAAATAAAATCATATATACAAAAGAGCCATATTAGAAACTTTTCCTGCATAAGTTGAAGGAAGACTTCAATGTTTGCCAAATGGAAATAATAAAATTGAGGATAATGCATACTTTCTTTATGATAAAAGGTATTAAAAATATGACCCAAACCTAAATTTTACTTAGCAATTCATTCTACAAATATAAATCATCATTAAACAACAAAAAAAGATTTCCTTTGTTTTTATAATAGTTTTAGACCAACAACAAAAATCAATTTCAAGAGAAATTATTTGGCAAAGCTATTAATGATACAAAATCTCTGAAGGATAATGTCATCTGCTTCAGCATATCCTTCTAAACATAATATATAACAATACCATACCTAATTTCAAAACACAAAACATTTTAAACAAGCACCTGGGAGGCACCATTTCACCAAGAGTACTGTTGAGTCCATTGTGCAACTCTTCATTCTGAGAAGGGACGGAGTAAACTGAAGGAATGGGTTGGGCAGACGGGGCAGATAAAGGAGGGAGAGGTGTCTGGAAAGCTACTCTGGGTCTTTCAGGTGGAATCATCTCTTCACGGTGTCTTGGTGCCGTACTAAAGTGCTTTAGCCTATCAGGCTAAAATAAAGAAAGAAAAATCTGTTTGTTAACATAGAATCATAAATTTAGAGGCGGAAGAAACTTCAAAAGACCCTTTATCCCCATAGTCATTTAAGACAGTCACAGAATAACAGAACTTTACAACTATAAAATATTTAAAGATCTAATTCTTATTTTACAAATGAGTAACTGAGGCTCCCAGGGATTAAATCACATAAGGTCTTAATGTTAAATATTCAGGCAACAACGAAAACCAAATACCAATTTTAAATACTCTATCTATTATAGCATAATTCTATGCTACTTCTCTATCTAATAGCAAAGTACTCTGTAGAACAAGATCAGCGAACACTTTCTATAAAGGGCCAGACAGTAAAGATATTAGACTTTGCAGGCCATGTAGTCACTTCAGAACTACCAAACTCAGCCTAGAAATGAAGGAGGCTATGCTGCAATAAAACGTTATTTACAAACGCAAGCAAAAGCAAGATTTGGGTACAGACCACAGTTTGTTAATTCCTACTCTAGCACTACATTTATTATTATTTGATTATTTGACTTATTATAATTTGATTTGAACATCAAATATAAACCCAAAAATAATGTTCAATTACTGTTTCAATTACTGTTACTAACATTTATTCTCATAAATCAACTTGACACTCTTTAGGAGTTTCAATCCAAAGATAAATGATATCTGTCACACAATCTAAAATTTAACACACCAATCTCTCAAATTAAAAAGCTCTAGTTTATAAAAGGAATGCAAAAGCTACTTCAAAAGTATATATTGATGGAAGAAAATATATTTAGCTTTGGAATTTTTCTTCTTTTTCTCTGCCATGGTATTCTTCTCACGTTAATCTACAAACCTTATTCTGTGAACAGTCAGAAGCACATAGTGGGAGACACTTTTACAGTATTAAACTTTCATCTGCTGGGGTTTGAGTACTGGGCTTATTACTTAAGCACATACTCTATCACTGAGCTATATTTCCAGTTCTAGTGTTAAACTTTTAAAAAACAGATAAATAACCTAAAGGATATATATTTAGTGAAAGTCAATTAGAAACTGCCTATACTTGAATAATAATTAGAATAATTATAAGGATTTGCTGTATCCCTTTTAAAGAATTACTTTTTAATGAAATTAAAGGTAATAGCCATCATTTAAAGATGAAACAAACATTTCCCTTAATAAACTACATATATATATACACACACATATATATACATATACATACATATATATATATATACATACATATATATACACACACACACACACACACACACACACACTAAATATATTCAACTACCAAAAAAGTACATTGTGGTAAGAGCAATAAATTGTTACCTCCTTCTTACTTAACTGCAATGATGTGAGTAATTCATTCCACTTAATGATGAGAATTGCAAAATTAAAGTAAAAATAAGATTATTATCTCTCTAGTTTTACATTAAATAACAATTACTAAAATGCTTAGAGACTAGAATTAAAGCTTTCAGTTTCTTTGGAAATCACTCTCATATAAGAAAAGCAAGTAGCTAAAACATATCCAAGAAAAATATTCACATGATTTTAAGTTACACCGAGATAACTTACCTTTTGAATAGTACATATGACAAAGTAAAGAACTAATTAAAAACAAATTAAAAATGATGCACATATAAAAAGAAAAAATTTTCTTAGGAAAATAAAAAATAAGTAAGAGTTAAGATTTATATTTCATAAGGACTGAATTAATTTCTGCTTAAACTGATCAAATCTTAAGAGTTCCCCAATATTCTCTATCCCTACCTACCACTGATTTCAAAAGGCTTATTTGAATTAAAAATTGAAATATTAGAAGATGCCAGGAACCCTTACCAATTTCTCAGGGTCTTGTACTCCAGAAGCTGCAACTCTGAGTTCTAAATCTTTTTCTCTAAACAAAATTAAAGTTTTGTATATTAAAAAGTTATTATAAACACTATCTAAATTATAACCATTATGGAAACAAAAGTCTTCGAATATAATTACTTTAACAATGAAGTCTTAAATAATACCAAAAAAATCAAATTTTCTGACCTGGTGCAAAGTAAACTGGGATTTACATGTAACTGAAAGAATAAGTATTCAAAACCCCTGGGTTTTGAAGATAATTCAAAGATAATTCACACCAAATGAAATACAAAAGTAAAACTAATCTTTATAAAACTAAACAACTATTTTTAGGGCACATATGTATTTTCAGTTTCCAAAAAGAAGGATAAAATTTACAACCAAACTTTCTAATACGAATTTTTAAGAAATCAATATTAAAGATGGCCAGCATCAGATAGCAGATATTAGCTTCCTCTTAAGGTTCCAGGGTACTACACGATGATAGGTCTCAAATTCTCTAGTATCCACATGTCCTGTTTCATATCTACTATTTTGCAGATATTTGTACAAGAAAACAAACACTGAGACTTGTATACAATATAAATACCTGTAGTTCATCATATGTTTATATTTATGTTGCATATGGGGGTGTGCTTATCATATCAAAATGAAAAAAGGCCAAATACTTTTGTATCTGTTTACTATGTAAAAGATAATGCAACGGGCATACAGATAATGTTAAACACTACTCAAACACAAAAACAGCAAATTAAGGAAGGAAATGAAAAGGCTTTTATAGTATACATACAGTCTCATGCATCTATAACAAAGTCTACTCATAGTATTTGTTTCATTTTCCTTACTGATTTACAATCAAATGATTAAATTACAAGTGATTTACAAATGAAAAATCATATTAGAAAAAAACAGCTCCTTAGTTTACCATCATGTCATTTTATGCAAGTCTTTTAAACTCAAAACACCTGTGTTAAATGCAAACCTTTCCTTACCGTCTCTTGTTCTTCTGTTGCTCAGCCATTTGTTCCAATAGTTCTTGTCTATATTTTTCTTTCCTCCTCTGAATAACTTCCCGATCTTCACCTCCTAGACAGTGGTAAGAAAAAATGCAGTCTTACAACTCAAGTAGCATACAACTCAAATTCAGTTTAAAAAAAAAAAAAAACTTCATTTTAAATTATATCAAAGAGTAATTACTAAATATTCAAGTACTGAAAAATAATCACATGTGTCAGTACCTCTTCAATTAACTTCATAATTTATGAGATGCTACCATGTGTCAAACATAAATACATTAGTATTCTAAGCCTCTACCTTTAGTCAAAAATCTTCTTAAATAACAGAATATTCTAATCCCCATCCCCATTTTTCTAATAATGTAGTTAATAACTCCATAAACCTCTTAAATTTAACAAATATCCATTCAAAATTGACCTCTCAAAATGAAGCTCTCCTCTTTGTTTTCTGTTAATGGCCCAAATAAGCTCTAACACCTTGCTATAACTTTGCTCATCCTCTCTTATTCAACACATGAGGCCCTTCCTTTCTATTCAAAAGGCCATTAACCTTGGAAAGGACTTGCAGCAATAACTCTCCCAAATTCCCTTCTCTGTACTCCAATACATGGAAGCACACTTACATAAGATTCACTGTCTTAAAATACAACACTAATTATTGCTCCAAAAACGTCAATGGCTACTAGCCTCCATTCTACAGGAAAAAAAAGAAAAACAATACAAACCTCTCACCTTGGTATCACTTATGTAAAAATTCAGTTGATTAAACATTTGGATCCAGGGAAAAATATTATGATTATTGCATAAATTAGTGCCACAAAATAATATCTTAATGTAGATATGTACAATCTAAATGCTTCGTAAATTGTAAGTATCAAAATTCAATAGAATTAGCCATTTGTCTACTGCCTTAATCATTGGTCTCTCAACCATTAGTGGGTGTCCATTCAGCACAGACGTCAGCAACAGTGAAGCTCCCCAAGTAGTAACATGAATTATGTTCAAGTTAATAAGGGTGTTTTATAATTAAAGTAAACCTCCATTCTACTTCTGACCAGGATGGAATAACAAGCACAGGACTGTCTGTAAAAAACTAGAAAACTAGACTTTCTTCATGAGATAGTAGTAAAAATATTATATAACTTTGTCAAAGTTAATTTATAGGTTAAAATCCTTTATATCCAAACATAAAATAACTATTTCCCAGACAGACAACAGGAAGCACAGGATTATAATTTTGGAAAGAAGGAAAATAAATAAGGTGAGCCCTATAATTATTTGAGTTTCTGCCCAAATGCAATTTCCAGACCATGTGCACAAGGAAAGAAAACTCAAACAGAACCAAGAAACCAAGTTCAAGTGAGTAAAGAGGGCTGGGAGTCAGGGAAAGGCAGATCAGTGGTAGAGTGCATATCTTGTACCCTGGGTTCAATCCCCAGCACCACAAAAAACTTAAGTGAGTAAAGAGCAAAATTCAGGAATAATAAAATGCCTGGAAGTTGCAGGGCAAAGATCCATAACGAAGTGTGCCCTTCAGACTTGGCGTTGCACTAGTCTGAACATTCACATATTAAAATTTCATTTGGCTAGAAAAAAACACAAAGGAGAACAAGTATGTGAAATTCAGAGACATGAAACAAAAGTGAGAAATTCAAGTTCCCCAAAACTAGTGTAGAGTTCTCAGTGATTCCCCACAGTTTTAAGGGAAGACCCCAGAAAGGTCATTCTGTAATAGCAAAGCTGAACTATCTCCTGTACTACTCTACATGTCCCTAACTAAATTTGAAAACAGTTCTCAATAAGATAAAAATTGCTCCTTAGGAAAAGAGTAATGTGATGATGTAAGGCAAAATTTGAAAATGGTTCCTATGTTCTCTGCTCCCTGTTGCTGAGTGCCTATATGATCCCAAATCCTTGTGTATAGGTGGGAGCTGTGACTTGCTTCTGTATAATAAGAAAGGATGAAAGAAGAAATTTACAGATTTAATTAAGGTAACGTATCAATTACTTTTAGAATAATTAAAGGGGAGATTATCTTGGGTAGGCCTGATATAATTGGCTTAAGGCCCTCAGATAAGAGAATGAGGACTCTGAGTTTAGAAATTCTCACTGCTAACATTATCAAGTGAGCAGTCATGGTGAGAAACAGCAGACAACATTTAGTAACTCAGAGAGTTGCTACTGGTCATCCAGTAAAAGGCCAGACCTTCAAAGTCAAAAGACATGCGTTTTGCCAAAACCCTGAAAGAGCATGAAAGCAGGTATTTTCCCAAACATCCAGGTGAAAAATAAAGCCTGGCTAATACCTGGATTATAGCCTCCTGAGACCATGAATATATGACCTTAACTAAGTAATGCCTAGACTTTGGATCTATACAACTTGAGATGTAATAAATGTAGATTGTTTTCAGTCACTAAATTTATGGTAATTTGTGATAATGCAATAGAGAACTAATAATATAGTGAGAAAGCCATAACCAGTAGAAAACTAGTCAATATTTAAAAAGCACATAAATGACAGAAGATGAAACAGACAAGGGTATTCAAATAGCTATTATACTTACAGTCAAGAATTTAAGTGAAAATAGAAACACAATGAGGGACAAAATGGAAGCCACTGTAAAGAACCAAATGAGGAGTTTTGCTTATGCTTAGAAAGTACAAAGCCACAAAAGAACTATGCTCTGGTCTTACAATGAGAAGAAGCTCAATCATTAACAAAATCATAACTTTTTAAAAGCTCATCAGAGAGCTAAATTTATAAGCAACCAAATGAAATAAATACCAAATACAAAAAACAATACATGAAGAAATGGGACAATTAACTTAAGAGGTGGCCACCATAAAAGCAGGTAAGAAAACAATAGAAACTTTATTAAATTCTTAAGTCCATGTGTGGGTTAGATATGGAATCCCTGGAAGCCTCAGACACAGAGAAATCTGTACTCACTTGCCAGCCTCCACCAGATGCTTATCAAAAAGCTTAGGATGGGGCAATATCTGTGGCACTTAGGCACAAAACATTATCCACTTTGCAGACTTTTCTCTCATACAAAAGCAAAAGCCATAGTCTACTGTTGAGAGGCAGAAAACTGCCTTAGACTCAGCGTCCTACACTCATACAAAGCAAAAGTTTGCTACTCTTAGAAGATCAGGGTCATTGCTGAAAACCTGAAACAACACTGAGAATATCCCTACAACAATCCAAGCCTCACACTAAAGGCAACATTGTCAGAGAACTTAATACTTTCCTCTAGGCAGAAACAGAGAAAAACCATTAAGGATATATATGACATAAAGACATTATTAATCAGCTTTATTTAATTGACATTTATAAGCCACTACACTTAACAAATACACCATACACATTCTTTCAAGTACACCTAACACATTTACAAAGATAGGCTATATTCTGAGACTTTTTTTTTAATTTACTAAAAAATTTCAACAAACTTGAAATAATTTAAATTATATAAATTTATAAAATTATATAAATTAGGCTCTCAGACAACAAACAGTGAATAAAAATACAAAAGGAGAGCTGGGTTTGTAGCTCAGTGGTACAGCGCTTTCCTCACATGCATGGGGCACTAGGTTCGATCCTCAGCACCACATAAATAAATAAAATAAAGGTATCGTGTCCATCTACAACTAAAAAAATTTTTTTTAAATACAAAAGGAAAAATCCCCAAACACATGGCAATTTATATATTACTTCTAAATAACCCTGATTCTATTACAAATCTCACAAAACATTGTTATTTCACTCCAAACAGTCAACTATTTATTTGTTAAGGATGAAAATAAACATACTAATGTATTATGCACATATTTACCAAATTTTGTGCATGTATATGCACATATATACAGATGACATTATAAGTAAAGAATATAAAATTAAAGCTTTTATGTTATAAAATGGACACAGAAAATTATCTATGCATAAAATAGCTTACCTGAGAATCTAATCAATTCGACTGAAAACATCTTAGGACTCAAAATATTCAGGAAGGTGACATATTATAAAATGCATATTCAAAAAAGTAAAGGCCAGAAATGAGGTCGTTTCAGCAAAATAGGAAGATGAATTTCAATTCAGTTGAAATGAGAATATCTTAACAATCAGAGCTGCCTAAAGATGGAATGTCCTGCCTCTAGAGATTAAGAACACTGCAGGTATATTCAAATATAGTCTGGGGGAAAATGACTTAACAATTTGGTCCAAATATTAAATAAAGTCAATTATCTCACTAAATAGTCAAAAACAATTCCCAAATTATACTAATGATAAATTCATGCTGTTCATTTTTAAAATTTCAGAGTCTTAATATTTTCATTGATAAAATTATCACTTAGTTTTCAGCTTAGAAAGGCATTTCTCCTATTTTTACCATGTAATGACTATATCTTTAGAACATAATCTATAGCCAAGTTAAACTGGTCAGTTCTCATAAACTTTATACTAGAATGAAATTCTAGATGCTATGCCATTTTTTTATCTGGCCATTTCAAGGAAACAGAAGTCTGAGATTATAATATGATTATATGTCTCGAAGCCAAGATTTAAATTACTGACAGCTTTTAGGTTGAATAAGCCAATTTCCTCACATTTATACAATTTCCTCACATTATTAAAAACCAAATTTCAGTTAATTTTTTTTAACAGTTTTCAGACAAAGAACAGACCTCTTTTGTATTTAAAGGAAACAATGTTCTCTTCATACAACTTCTGAAATTGTGACAAGGGTAATATATAACAAATTCAAAAGTTATATTCTGGAAAGACCTTGATTTCTATATCATTTGGATCTGGAATGTTCCCAAAAGACTCATGGACTGAAGCCTGGTCCCCAGTACAGCAATGTTCTGAAGTGGGGCTTTTGGGATCCTGAGGGCTCTGATCTCATCAATGGATTAATCCACTAATGGGTTCATAATTGAGAGGACTATTAGGAGGTGGTAGAAACTGTAAAGTCTAGTGGGAGAAAGTAGGTCACTTAAGGACATACACTGAAATCAAGTCTCATCCCTGCCCCACTGGCTACTTCCTTGCTACCATGAGATAAGCTTGTCTGCTCTACCACATAGTCCCTGTCACACGATGTTCTACTTTACCAGGAGCCCACAGGGATAGGGCCAAGCAACTATGGACTAAAACTTCTGAAAGTAAATCTTCCCTCCTCCTTTAAGTTGTTTATCTCAGTTAGTCACAATAACAGAAAGCTCACTAATTAAACCTCTGAAAAAACAAATATAAAATTTAGACCATTATCCTTATTTGAACAAAACACCTTCTCAGAAACTATATGGAAAGAACAAAGGAAAAAAATGGATCAATTCGAAGAAATTGAACTAAAATAGAAGGTAGTTTTGTGCTAGCTGAAGAAACAAGAAAATATAGGGAAAAAAATCACATATAAAATAGTACAAAAAGAAAGAGCCATGCTTAAACAATGTACTAATAAAGTCAAGCACGGTGGTACATGCCTGAAATCCCAGCAACTTGAGTGGCTGAGACAGGAGGACCACAAGTTCAAGGCCAGCCTTAGCAGTTTATAAAGACCCTAAGCAACTGAGGACCCTGTATCAAAATAAAATAAAAAGAACTGAATATGTAGCTCAATAGTAAAGTGCCCCTGGTTTTAATCTCTAGTTTCAAAAAAAATGCTAATAAAATATGAAAGCTTTTTACTAGCCAGTCACAGTGACATTAACCAAAAAGCAGAAGCAACAAGGTTGTAAATCCAACCCCAACCTGAGCAACCCGATGAGATCCCATTTCAAAATAAAAAAAATTTTAAAGGGTTGGGGAGCTCAGTGGCAGATCGCTTGCCTAGCATCTAGAAGGCCCCAGTACCCCCAACAAACAAAAAAGCCTATTAACTAAAACCAAAGTTTCATTCATCAACTACAGAATTTATAGAAAACACACACCAAATAAGCTAATTAGCTTTACAGTTATACACAGAACTATACAATGTGTGTTAAAGGATTAGTATGGTACCTATCATGAAATAAGCACTGGATAAACATTTTCTACTGTTATTAAAAGTAGTACTACTTACAATACTGAGTTCTCACTAAAAACCTTTTATACAACATTCTGCAAAAGACTAATCTATTGGAAATTTGTACATACCAAAAAGCATTCCTGCAAAAGGACTACAGATATCTCGATTAGCAGATTTGGATGGTTCATTATCTCGAGCACTACAACAAAAAGAAAAAAAAATTATTTGCAGGAAGCAAAATTTCAATAAAATGTAGGTATAAGTTATAGCCTTTCCAAGTGCTAGAACAGTATAATATTTATATCTTTTTAAAGGTAAGGTAAAAATCATAAAATTTTAATTCTTTATATAGTGAGATTCCAAATTTTAAAGGTAAGGTAAAATCATAACATTTCAATTATTTATATAGTGAGATTCCAAATGTATTTAGGTTCATCTAGCTTCACTGGATTTACAGTTCAAAAAATAAAAATCTTTCTCATAATAAATTATCCACTCAGGAAAATAAGTACACATAAATAAGTCCTAAAAAAAGAAGAAGAAGAAACAGTATAACCAATAAACAACTTGGAAAAGATCACCCCTTTAAAAATAAAAATTAAAAAAAAAAACCTTCCTTGGAAGATAGGAAGAAGGAAAAAAATGGATAAATCCCTCAACAAAAACTTAATTAGAACCAAATAGTAGACCATTATTGCAAGTATTCTTTGTATATTATTACATATCCTCAAAGAAAATAGACACATTTCTTGACATATGACAATACTATTTTCTTTCTATACTATAGATTAGAACTATGTATTCTTATGTATGAACAGGAGAGCCACCAAAATGATAAAAACTATTAACAGTTTTTTTCAACAAATATATAAGCACTAATTTTACAAAGTAAACATATTATCTACTTTATAAGCTTAAAAAAAACAAAAATAAAGTTCTAAAAGAAAAATTTACATTTCAGGAATATCTTCACTATATTTCCAATTAAAGTGTATTACCATAACTCCAGGATATCTAGTTTTTTAATTTTTTTATTTGTTTTAATTAATTATACATGAAGTAGAATGCACTTTGATACATCATATATAATGAATATAATTTCTCATTCTTCTAGTTATACATGATGTAAAATCCCACTGGGCATATAGTTATAATATGTACCTAGGGTAATAGTTTCTGATTCGTTCTACTATCCTTCCTACCCTCATAGGATATCTTGATTTTTAATCCACTAAATTATGTTTATTGCCCCCTTAATTATTTCATTCTTTATAATGATACAGACTCATTCTGAACACCTTGACAAGTTTTATAACCAAAACTTTGTTCTTCAAGTTTTTGTACTATATATTTTCATTTACGATTAATTCTCACCCCCCCCCCTTTTTTTTTTCCTTCTCTTAATTTCTCTGTCACCAGTAAGGAAGGCTATTAACACAGTATACCTTTCTACTTTTTCAGTAACCCAGTTTTAGGCAAGTGCTATTTCTCAGTGTAGTGGATCAAGGGCAGAATTTATAACACATACTATACCTTTTACTTCCAGCAGATGAAATTCGTTTATTTGATTGTTCTGTGATATCACCATCATTCTCCATAGAAGGCAGGTTCCCTCCTCTGTTCCCATGCATCCTTAAAAACATATTAGCTTACAGAATATATTCCACATACAGTGGGGCCTTTTATGTCTCTTTGAGTTTTAACATTTTTTTGTTGGAATCATTAAAGGGAACAAAGTATTAAAAACTTTGTTATAAATACATTCTAAAATTAATTCAAATAAGATTTGTTATAAGTATAATCTTCTGGTTAATACAAACACTAAGGGGATTGGGTTATGGCTCAGTGATGGAGTATTTGCCAGGCATATGTGAAGCACTGGGTTCGATTCTCAACTAAATAAATAAATAAATGTTTTTTAAAAATAACAAACACTAAGACTTTGTGGGGGGAGGTAATTTGTTTCATGGATGTGTTTTAGGTTTCTTTGATTGTTTTCAGTTCTAGGGATCAAAACCAGGGCCTCATGTATTCTAGACAAGTGCTCTCTATCACTAAGTCACATTCTCAGCCCCTAGTGTATTATACTCATTTCAATATAATATCTAGAAATTTTTTATTTCAAAATTACAATGTTGAGACATATTTTTAAAGTTAAATTCAAATAATATACTAAGACTGTTGCAGGAGGTGGTTCTTTTTGTTCACTTTTGTTTGATTTTATTTTGTTTTCGGTACCAAGGATTTAACCCAGGGATGTTTTATGTGGCCACATCCCCATATCCCCAGCCCTTTTTATGTTTTATTTTGAGACAAGGTCTTGCTAAGTTGCTTAGGGCCTTGATAAACTGCTGAGGCTGAAGCTGGACTTGCAACTCAATCTCCCGAGCCGCTGGGGATACAGGCATGCACCTAAGACTGGCTCTGAGGCGTTTTTTTTTTTTTTAATCATTCACTTAAGTGAAATTGTGTGCCTTGTACATGCCAAACTCTTTTGGGCACTGGGATATATGGTCCCTGCACTCAGAAAGATTATCGAAATTCAAAATGATATTGTTTTCTAATTCAAAATCATATCCTGGAAATTTGTTTACTGCACATACAAACCTTTTTAACTTAAAAATATAATTGCAGTCTTACCATTAAATTAACCCAAATATAGAAAAAGATGACATTTGCCAACAATGCAAACCATATTAAAAAATAAATGTTACCAAAAACTGAATGGAAAACGTGAAGTGTGGGCTGAAATGATTAGTTCATGTTAGTTATAAAGTTCATAAACAAAAAGAAAGATTAGATTTTTTTAAATTTTCTTCTTTAAAACCTTTTTGGAAAATAACAATGAAAAAAATGTTTTTTAATTAACTTTTTTTTCCATTTGGCAAACACTGATTTTTTTTTTAATATTAATTTCTCATACCACAGAAAACAACATGACTTTTTACACCAACATTGACCAAGCCCATGAAAACCAGTATTCGAGTTAACAAATCTTTCTCAACAGATTAATGAACCTGGTAATTTTTTGTTTTTAAAAAGGAACTTTTTATTCTCCATTGCATAAGCATATAAAAGTCTTTCTCTTGTTTCTATCACATAAGCCATTGTTAATATTATCTGCAAAGAAAAAACTATTAATATTTTAATCTTAATAACATGACTTGGCATGACACATGTATGGTTTCCACTTTTCATCACATCTAAAACTGAATTCTTCACAGGCCCTTTTAAAAAAGAATTTCAAAATTACTTCAATTTACTTTTTAAAAAAAAAAAAAAAAAAGCTGGTTTTAGCTAACCTAAAGCCTAGGTGCTTAAATCTCTTGAGCTCACACATCAGTTTAGGATCATTCCCTATTTCTGCTAGTGAAATAAGAGATAAATATAAACTCAAATTCAAATTTATAATTAACAATGCCAGGTAACCAGATTTAGTTATATTAGATCTCTACAAATATACATGTGCAGAAGATCTAACAGTGCAGGTCTGAAACCGACTATTCTTAGAAAGCTTGGATTGTACAGGTGACCCTAGGCTAGTACCTGGAACATAAGAGTTTAAAAAGGGTTCTCACTATACCCAGAATGGCTCAATATTCCTAAACTATTTACACAAACAACATAGTTCATGCTGAAACACCTCTTTCCTTCACAGAGTCTCAAATATTAATATAGCTAGAAAAGCAGTAACTACATGACTCCCCCCAAACAAAACCCTGAGCAGCCCCAAATAAAAATCTTGGGTACTGAGTCTCTAATGAGTTTCCTGGTTGTCACAATTCAGTGCTGGAATAATGAAGCATTTCCTGTTTGACTTCACTGGGAAAGGACTTTTAGAAGCTCCTCTCTGGTTTCTTTCTGACTTTGTCAAAATGCACTTTTTTTCCCTTAGCTCATTTTTCCTTATATCCTTTGATGCAATAAATCATAACCATTAATATAACCATATACAAAGTCCCATCTTCTAGCAAATCACCAAACCTGGGAACCCACAGTACAACACACAAAAGATATTAATTGATATGATTAAAAGATTATCTATAACAATGAAAATTTTAACACAGAGAAATTAAGTTACAAATATCTTAAAGCATAACTTGTGATCCTAGAATTAAAGGTCACTTAGACATTCAAAACTTTGTTCAAAAATTCACCCAAGAACTTGTAACTGACTTCCTCGACTTTCAGTTGTCTAAAGACAGTATTCAAATTTACAATTTTAACTTATTTTATTCCACTATATCCAAAGTATCCATATTAAAATGTGTTTTAAAGGCTCTTCATTATATACAAATAATAAAACGAGCATCATATGAGGTCATTTTCAAAGTTAACTCTAAATCTAAGAAATTCAACAATTTTATTTATGTATAAGATCAAAGTCTCTGCTAAAATCTAAAGTAAAACCCACAGATTTCCCAGTGACCAGTTCATACAAAAAATGTCCTAAGGTGTACCTTCCAATGAAGGGAAAAAAATTCAGTAACAAGATTATAAAAGCCACCTGTCACTGATAATTTCAATAAAATCAATACAGAAGAAATGTTTAAGAATCCGAGAAAAAGAACAGAAATATACATTTCACTACAAAGACCATAATACTGGTTCCTCTTCAGATCATGAAAATCTTTTACCTTTTACTAAAATGATCATAAAATCTTAAGGCAGCAACTTCATAAAACTATTGATATGACTGTGTTTAACTTTGTTAAATTAAGAAACAACTGCTGTTTACAACTAGAGATTGCATAAATATTTTAAAGTAACTAAAGTATGATCTTAACAAAAAACTTCAAGAGAACCTAAGCTGGGAAAACAAGTTATAGTTTAGAAAGTCAGCCACCTTATTTCCTATGAATATATGTGTGTGTGTGTGTGTGTGTGTGTGTGTGTGAGTGTGTGTGTGATATATATATATATATATATATATATATATATATATATGTATATATATATATAAAATTTTATGGAATTTCCTTCATTTACTAAGCTTCCTTTCAATAAAGTCTTCTCCAAGCTTCCATCTAATAAATTTAGAATTTAATCACTCTTAATCATCCCTATTAGTTCATTTTAACAAAGCTAATAGTGGTTTTACAACTTATTTTAGAAACCTTCCTGAGACAAATGAAGTTTTCTCTGAAGAAAGGAACTAATGAGATTCAGCAATAGTTTTTCTATTGCTCTCTCTATTCAATCCTCTCATGGTGAAGGGGTTACTTCTTAATGATAATATCCAAGAATACACTCTCTAAATGCCTAAGAACACCCTGATTTCAAATCAAAGTCCAGGGATTCAGTTTAGGTCCTGTGTGCCTCTGAGAAGTTCTTTTGGTTTAGCTGAGCTTTAGAGTTAATACCAAATTAAAACTACACCTGTGACCCAGAAGGAATCTATCTAGTCTGTGGCTTTAAACACACAAGTTAACTTACTACTTCCCAAATCCATGGCCTTTGGTTAAAAAGAAAGACCTCATAAAAGAAAATATTTGCTTCCTTTGACATTCAAGTTAGAATATGATTAAGGGAATAAAAGAACTGCAAAATAACTTCATTGTAAGTTAATGACAAATTCGACACCTTGTGACATCTGCATATCTAAATCCAAAGTTAGGCAAACATATGGCAAGTTTTCAGTATTAAGACAAATATGACAATAAGACTTCTTTGTAGTAGTTAAGAAATTACAGTCTCACAAAAACAAAGCATCTGAAAATCTGATTTTAAAAAAAGCCATTTCACTTATATGAATGTTAAATATTTGATGAAAAAATACAGCATATGAACATTAAAGGAATAAATTATATTCCATTTATGTTAAGGTATCCTTTTTACCCACATTTTAACATCATAAATTGGGATGGCCTGGTTTTAAGTCAAATTATTGAAGACAGAAGTTATTTTACTCCTGCCAGTCATTTAAAGACACTATCAATCAAGAAAACTCTGCATTCATGCCTTGGGTTTTTTTGTAGGTTGTTTTTTTGTTTTGTTTTGTTTTGTTTGATTGATAGCACTAGCAGTATAAATTCAGACTATGAACCTGAATCAGCAATCGTCTACAATTCAAATTCTCAGGAAAGATTTTGGTAATTTACTCCCTCCATTCAGTGCCAAGAAACATAGAAGTTCCTTTATGACCCTTTCTTTGAGAATGTCTATTTCCCATTTTTTACTTTAAGGACACAGCCTATCAGTGTTCCAGCTTTGCAACGGGGTCTCCATCTTGTTTTTTTTTTTTTTTACCCCTCTTAGTGGCACAAAAAAAATTGTGCTTCATAAAACTTAAAATTAATCAAATATAGTAAATCAAATTAAACTCCTTCTCCCTAACATAATGATAAAAGTAACAATGACTTTAAACAAATAAAGAAAATAAAAATGAAGATATAAATACCTGTTATTTGTATACACTCTCAAAGGTCTTCTATCAAAATCACTTTCATATCTAAACCTCTCGTCCATTTCTTCACTTATTTCAGGATCTTGGTCTGGTATGTGATAATGTCTATCAAAAACACAATCCTCATTAAACCTGCGAAATCTTCTTTCTGGAATGCCAGTCTTGCTAGCAAACCTTTGATGTTTTGTATTAGAAATGTCCACTTCATCAGTAGTTTTTTTAATAATTCTTCTATTCCTTAATTCAATTTCATCGTCTAATTGTCGGTATCTGTCTTCCTCTAGTCGTCTCTGGTTTAGAAGCTCTTCATATGCCTCTGAAGTTAAATTCTCTCTCTTAGGACCCTCTGAATTTGTGCTAGATATTTGTATTTGTGGAGGTAAATCAGGTTTAACTTGACTAGTAGAATTTTTATTTCTTTGATTCTTAGGCTGTTTAATTAGAAAAGAAAAAAGAAACAAATCTTAATGTGATACTGTTACTTTAAAGGTAACTAAAGTCTCTATAGTACTTAGTCTATCATCTCAACTCAGACATTTAATAGCCCATAATAAATATCTTTCCTTTTGGAGATAAAAAGAACATCAAGGAAATTTTACAATAAAAATTATTAAGTATCAATGGAAAGGCAACACTAACACTATAAAAACAGAAAATAAACTAAATGCAAATTGCTATCCCAAAAGATATCAGACATATTTTGGTACTTAAATGTTACATACTAATTAAATCCTTTCCCAACACAAAGAACATAGAAGGTGGTAAAACTTAGCCTTAATAACATCATTCTAAAATTTGGAAAAAAGAAAAATAATATATAGGGAGCTAGAAATTGTCAATATAAAAAAAAAACCTTAATAAACAAAAATCTCTTAGCAAAACTGATCTCTAAAATTAAATCTCACCAATGAGGTAATTTTAAAAAGTAGGAAAAGTTTTTCAATGAGATAAAGCAGTTTTCAAAGCTAAATGTTTAAATGTTCTGTATCTGGCTCCATTTGGCTTAATTTTTCAAATGTTTAGATAAAAACTAATTGACATATCTAAAACATAGAAAGCTTTTCAAGTAAGTACCAAATATTCAGCCTATGGTATTAAAATTTTACTTTAAAAGCAAACCTACCTCAGTATTCTTTTCTAACTGTTTGAACTTTTCAATGGATTCTTCCTTATCCCTGAGAAATTGATTGTATTCTTTGTTGCGTTCAAGTTTCAATCTTTCCTTAAATTAGAAATCAAAAGTCAATGTTAACTTTAACTTCAGAAAGAAGAATCTTAATGTCAAATAGAATTATCCAAAATCAAGTTTTATTAATAATTTCAAAAACAGAAAGTCACTGCAAGGAAGAGGAGAAGCAGAAAAAGGTATGACCATCATTGCAGCTCCCCGAGTTTCTCTTGCCACTTACAAATGGCTACATGTTTTGGTCCAATAGCACATGAGTTCTTTAAGATCTTTAACAGATCTGCTGTAGTTATGAAACATCTCCACTTATATTTCAGTACTTACAGAGACTGGATGATATTTCCAAAGAGACATGCCCCATAAATCCTTAGACTTCATGTTTATTTATCAAAAAGCAAGCTTAGCCATATCAGGGTCATTCTGCCAAAAGCATTCATATCCCCTAATCTATCCGTGAAACACCTATGGTTAACCATTTCCTACATAAGGTTGAAAATTGGCTTTTATTATCTTTTAAACAAACAAAAAGATTACACAGATACTAAATTACTATAATGGAATGTTCTGTTGAAACACAAATATATTACACCAAGAAATTATCTTGAGTGTTAAAGAACACTAGGTCTGTCTTTTGAAACATCTGTCCATTGTGTCTTTTTTTTAATACCTTTATTTTATTGTTTATTTATTTTTACATAATGCTGAGGATTGAACTCACGTGCTTCACTGAGCTATAACCCCAGGCTCCCATTTTGTCTTAAAGATTATGTCTACCTTGGGAATTGAGTCTGTACAAGAGGTATAGAGTGCTTTATCATTATCAACTCTTAAAAAATATGGACATGTTGTTGGAGAGTGACTGAAATACACTCTCAAATAGCTCCTACCCTCATGCCTATAGGCTCTCATTTCACTGCTGTCACATAGCACCAACTTTGTAGATTAGAAACCAATAAAAAATAAATAAATTCTGAATATTCAATTAAGTATAATCAAATAAGAAAAAAAATCAACATATTAAAGAAATGTATCACATTATATGGTTATAAATGTAATGATCAAAACACTTTTTTAAACAGCACAACTAGAGACTTCATATTTTTTTAAAAGAAATACACTCAAATTTGAAAAAAATATGTGATCATCTGTTTGCACGTAACTTGGGAATGTGTCGTCTCATGATTCTGATGCCTCAAAAAATTGCTATCCATAGTAACTACTCCTACCCACCTACCTTAGCAGATAACCTCTCACCAATAGGAAGAGAAACTCCCAGAGTAGATGGATCTGTTTCACCCGTAGATAGAAAATTTTTCTGTATATATACACATTAAAAAAATATATTACCCAATTGCCTTTTTATATGTTATAAAAGTCTTTATATTCTACATTCTAAACTCTCACATTATGCAGAGCAAAAGAATGAAATGGAGATGAAAACAGAAACTACAATCTATAGAGTCCATACCAAAAGTTATTGGAAAAAAAGATAATTTTCTTCCAATCACAAATCCCTAAAAAATAAAATCTGCACTTAATTTTCATTTACACTTATAACTATTGATTAGTAAGGGTTAAAAGCATAAAAAAGATTTTTCCAATTTATATTATTCTAAGCGTATATTCTTCATTCTCAGTGCTCTACTGTTCTTTTGTACTTAAGGCAAGTTTTAAACTTCCTCACAAATATCCTAATGCATGTTCACAATGTTTTTTTTTTCCTATGTTCCTCAAATTGATAAGAAAAAAAAAAAAGCTCTACTCAATCGACAAAACAAAATCTATAAATGCTGTTTCTTTATGTGTCCCTACATTCATGTTCCTTAAGCATTTAAGTGAGGTAGTGTAGTAGAGCATTAGACTGGGTGGCAAAAGACCTAGACTCTACAACTAGCCTCAACACTTATCAGCTGTGTAACACTGAGCAAGTCAGCTAACTTCTCTGACAGATTTCTTCTATAAATGAGAATGGCACCTGCCCTGCCTATCTACCAAAGCTGGTGTTAAGTATCCAGCAGGCTACAAAATGTAAAATCTCTGTGAACGTTATAAAGCAAATACAAGCAATAGTAAAAACTGTACACAATCCCCAACTTACTGGTACTTCTATTTGGTATTCCAGGTGAAATAAGTTACTTAACTCCTCAGTTTCTTCATAGGTAAAATGGGGATAATATCCTCTACATCACCAGGTTATGAAGATTAAATCAATCAAGGCTTATTAGCATGCCTGCTTTTATTTATTCTTTAATTAATATCTACCAACTAATGCTTTCCAGGTACTATGTTAGACAAAATGTACAAAATGTACTATGTTAATTCTATGTTCTCTCTACTCGAGAGATTTTACAGTTAACTGGAAAACAGACATTTAAATAATTACAATATGCATGGATACAATAGCATTATATTCAAAACATTATGGGAAAAGAGTGTTAGTAAAACAAAGTGATTAATAAAGTTTCATTAGATATGAATTCACAAATGTGCAGTGCTATAAAAGTTCACTTGAATGTGGACTGTACAAAACTTTTTTGTCAAAGGAAACAAGACACCCAAGCAGACCCTTAAGTCAGTTTACCTCCTATATACCAAAACACTATAAACCTAATCATTCATAAATGCACAAAAACAAAAACAACATGTTCTGAATTCTCAGGCTGGAAAGACAGATATAAATCCTCACTCCTGAGCCAGGCCTATAATCCCAGAAACTTCAGAGGCTGAGGCAGGAGGTCAGCAAGAAAAGAGGATTGTGAGGTAGGAGGATCATGGGGCAGGAGGATTGCAAGGTCAAGGCCAGCCTCAGCAATTTTGGCAGACACTCAGAAACTTAGCAAGACCCTATCTCAAGATAAAAAAAATAAAAAGGACTGGGGATGTAGCTCATTGAAAAGCATCCCTGGGTTCAATTCCTATTACAAAAGAAAAAAAAAAAAACTCACTCCTTCACTGGGCAATTCCTTATTCTCAACCTTTCAACACAAGTCTAGAATGTTTGTAATTTTCAATAAAATGAAAAATAAATAAATAAGGACAACATAGTTTTCCAAAAGGCTGAATTTTAGTCATTTCTCGTTCATTTGGTAAACAGTGAGTGCCTACTATGTGCCCAAATTCTGATACATTTGGGAATTTGGGAGGCATCAATACACTAAATGGTCATACTTGCTGTGACCAAAAAAAATTTTTTTTTTTATTTTTTAAAGCCACATATAGCACAGCCATCTAGGAAGTGAGAATGAGAAGAATAGAAATGAGGTCCCTTTTGGACAGGCTGGGACCTGAAAGAGATGCATCATGCTAAGGAATTTGATGTTTGTTTTTTTTTTTCTGAAGTCAGTGAAGAGACACTGATATATTTAAATCGGTTAAGAATAGGATCGTTCTGAAAGGCTGTGTGTATACAGTGGTAGAGCACTTGCCTAGCACATGTGAAGCACTGGGTTAAATCCTCAGTACCATGTGAAACATAAATAAAATAAAAGCATTATGTCCATCTAAACTACAAAAAATTTTAAAAAAAGATCATTCTGGAAAGTAGTATAGAGAATGGACTGAGAATTAGTGCAACGTGATCAAGTTAAAAAGCTACACAGATATATGTATATGATGTTGAGTCTTTTGACTTTACTAAAGGTGCTGAATAACATTAAATTCACTATTTTCCTTTCCTATTTTACTTGTGAAAATAATGCACTAAGGGTGGATGAATGGTCTATTTGCATTAACCATTTATAATGGACAGAAGGTTTTTGTTATGTATTGGGTAATCAATGCATGTTTATATTTAGCATCGTGTTATTGCCTCTGATGTTATTAAATAAATGACTATCTGGAGGAAGAACTCCAAAAAAAAATAAAAAAGCTATACAGTCAGGCACAATGGCACACACCTATAATCCCAGGCTGAGGCAGGACGATTGCGAATTCAAAGCCAGCCTCAGCAAAAGGGAGGTGCTAAGCAACTCAGTGAGACCCTGTCTCTAAAGAAAATACAAAATAGGGCTGGGGATGTGGCTCAGTAGTTGACTGCTCCTATTCCTGTTACCCCCCCCCCCAAAAAAAGAAGCTATAGAGTAGTAATTTAAGCAATGAGAGTCTCTAACACAGAGAACTAACTATCCTACAACACAGTTATTATACTTTTCACAGGCTACTTCCTACCACATGTAAGTTAAAAATCTACTGCCTTCCAATCTGGTCCTATCTATCTACATCATTATTTCTTTCTACCCTGAAAAAGAATCATGCTCTGATCCATTCAAACTAGTAAATCTAGTATGTCTCAATCATACAAACCTAAGTTTATCCTCAAGTCCTTCTTCCTTCTATATTTAATGTCAAAAAAAGCTTTCTCTCCTTGATTCTCTCTTTTGATTGTCCAAATTCAATCTACCCTGTAATGCCTTACAAAATAACATCTCCCACTATGAGGTCTTTCCTTTTCTTGTTGTAGTTATCACTTTCTGAATTTTATGAATGTTCTTGCCTTTTAGATTTAAAACCCCTTGAAGACATCTTCATAATCAACAATTTAAAAATGTTAGCTGAGTGGTAAACAAATGTGTGAGATTCTCTTTAAAAATAGTTTTGAAAAACAATAAAACTACTTCTCTTTGTTCTCCAATATAAATTTACAAATGCAATCCAGTTTTTGGCACAAAAATATCAAGCAATTCAAATCCTGATAATACAAAGTTTAAAACATTTTCAAATATCTTGACTATTCTATTAATCTTACCATAATTATCATAATTTAGTCAACAAAAACTAACATGCTGAAAACAAATGAACTTTCAATAGCTGCAAAATATTATAAAGGAAGCATAAGAAAATAAAACAAATGCCAAGCATGAATCAAAACTAATGATTACATTAATGAGAAATTTTGGTATGTAGACTGTCATTTTGCAAAGCTAAAACCAAAGATACAAAATGGTACCATTCAAAAGACTTGAAATGACAAATGAAGCTGTTTCTCTAATTGGTTTGAATCATACCAATGCAGATGATTACAAGCTACTATATCTTTAAAAACACAAAACTAAAAGAAAATATTTTGCAGGTAACCCTACCTTTCTTTTTGCTTGTGTAATTCCCTAAAGTCAAGAGAAACAAACCATTGATAAATTGTATTCAAAGTCCATTCTCTCCATATGCAAATTATAATAAATAAGAGACCACTAGTACATTTGAAGCAAACATTACAAAGCAGTGGAAAAAACAAATAATATATTAGGATGACAAGAAACATCATGATCGTTTAAAATATTTTTATAACCTAAAAAGTAAATTGCATTCTAAAACTTAAAGAAAATTTAATTTAATAATTTTAAAAATAGACCTAAAATAAGATTTTTGTTAAATGAATCATTAAATTCATTTAGCAAATACTGGGGATCTAACCCAGTGCTTCATATGTGCTAGGCAAGTGCTCTACCACTGAGCTATACACACAGGCTTTCAGAATGATCCTATTCTTAACCAATTTAAACATATCAGTGTCTCTTCACTGACTTCAGAAAAAAAAAAAAAAGCATGGATTTTAGCAGTTAATAAGTAGGTTAAATCAAATGTTATAAGCTTGCCAGGTGCAGTGGTGCACACCATAATCCCAGTAGCTTGGGGGGCTGAGACAGGAGAATCGCAAGTTCAAAACCAGCCTCAGCAAAAGCAAGGTACTTAGCAACTCAGTGAGACCCTGACTCTAAATAAAATACAAAACAGGGCTGGGGATGTGTGGCTCAGTGGTTGAGTGTCCCTGAGTTCAATCCCCAGCATCCAAAAAAAAAAAAAAAAATGTCATAAACTTAGCTCATAGAAAAATAATTGCAGGGCCGGGATTGTGGCTCAGCAGTACAGCTCCTGCTTAGCAAGTGCGGGGTGCCAAGTTCATTCCTCAGCATCACATAAAAATAAAATAAAGGTATTGTGTCCAGCTACAACTAAAACAAAATATTTTTTTAAAATATTTATTTATTTATTTATTTTTAGTTTTCGGCGGACACAACATCTTTGTTTGTATGTGGTGCTGAGAATCGAACCCGGGCCGCACGCATGCAAGGCGAGCGCGCTACTGCTTGAGCCACATCCCCAGCCCATAAAACAAAATATTTAAAAAAAAAAAAAAGAAAGGAAGAAAAATAATTAGCAACTAGAATTCCACATATCATTTTAATACATAGTTAGGGGGAAGTAAAGGCTTGGGAAAGCATAATTAGGCTCCTTTAAACACTGCTTACTTTACAGAAAACATGACCTACCAAAGTCTAACAATTTTATAAAATTAGAACCCACTGAACTACTCCAAAGGTTCAGAGTCTGATGCTTACTGCTTCCCCAACCCCAGGTGCTGGGGATCAAACACAGGAACTCACACATGCTAAGCACAAACTTTCCCAATGAGCTATACCCCTTAGGAAAAGCCTATATTATTCCATGGCATGAGTGCTAAGCATCATTTTTCTACCAAAGTCATCTCCCCCAACTTTAACTATATTACCTTACTAGAGACCACTGAAAAACAATGCACATAACTAAACTATACAAAATCAAAATTTAAAAGACAAATTCTGAAGAATAAGATCCAATTCATTAATGAAACTCATTACCTGAGTAAGATAGCGTCTATAATCTTGCCGCAGTTCTTCTTTTAATTTATGTTTCTTCCGTTCATAGTCTTCCCCAAGTGGTAAACTTAATCCATAATCAATTCCTAGAAAGAAAACAATTTATTACGCAATATAGTTCATTTTTAGACATATTCAATAATGTTTACCTCATGTATCAAAGCTAAGTAAGAAAGAACATAGTTACGTTGATGCTGAGAATAGGATCAGGAAAAGTTTACATAAAATGTTTCAATGGGTAATAAATAAACATGTTGAAAAATATCATTCCTATGGACCTTCATTTGCCCTCAAAAACCAATATTATGTTTCTTCTGTTCTTCTTTTAGAGATTTTTCTATGCATCTACAAAAAAAAATACTTTTACATTACTGCATATATATTTATGTATGTGTGTTATATTTACTTTTCCTGTTCAGACAAATGGTCCTACATAGTTAAGCATCTTGCTTTTTCAAGGACAGCAAAATTAAAACAAAAAAAACTAATTACCTTCACCTCTTCACTCAATTTTACTTTAACTTTTATAGGAAAAATACCTACAACAATTTTAATGTGTCTGTTTCTCAGTCTAGGAAGATAAATAATTTGTTTAGCAAACAAGAATATCTTTGTTATAACTTGTTTTCTGAGAAAAAAATTACTAGGACCAGGTAGGTATTGCTTAGGATGAAGTTTCAAATAAAATTCTGAAGTTAAGCCACCAGTTCTGACTTCACATAATTTTTTATTGTGGTAAAAATTACATAATATGAAATTTACCATTTTAATAATCTTCAAATCATCAAAAAGAAATGGGATGATAAAAAAATGGATGTTGGGGCGGGGTTGTAGCTCAATGGTAGAGTGCTTGCCTATAGCACGCGTGAGGCACTATGTTCAATCCCCGGCACCAAATAAAAAATAAACAAGTAAAATAAAGGTATTGAGTCAATCTACAAATAAAAATATATGTATTCTTAAAAACTAGATGTTAATTTTTGAAAAAAACCTTCATTTTGAGTAGAGTTCCTCTTCATAAAATTCAAAAATTAAATTACATGTTGGGATAATGACAATGGTGATTAATGTACAACTTGTAAATATACTAAAAACCACCTGTTTGTATACTTTATGGTAAACTTTATGATATGTGAATTATATCTCAATAGAGATGTTAAAAAAATCACGTTTTTCAAATAGTGAATAGCAAAGAACCACAGATATAAAATGAGTATTCAGATTTCTTTTTTTTTTTAAGAGAAAGAGAGAAAAGAGAGAATTTTTTAATATTTATTTTTCAGTTTTCGGTGGGCACAACATCTTCATTTTATTTTTATGTGGTGCTGAGGATCGAACCCAGCGCCCCGCGCATGCCAGGCGAGCACGTTACCGCTTGAGCCACATCCCCAGCCCGGAATATTCAGATTTCTAAAGCTTCTACCCCGTTATTAGCACTCCTATATAAATATACTATTATAGTATTTAAAAATTATCATTTCTTAACATAATAAAAAATTTATAGTACGACAAACACTATAGATGAAATAAATGATTGCAATTTATAAACTCCTACAAAAATCACCATTTTTGTGCCTTATTCTCATAATGCAGCTAAATAATCAAGCATGTGTCATATCACTGCTTTATTACATCACTGAAAAACTTGGGTTGGGGAAGGTCAAAGTAGTATAAGCATAAATTGATGTCTATTAAATTTTACTGAATACAAAATTCTGCTCCCTACTATAAGCACTCTAGAATTCTCTGGATAAATACTTCTGGCCTGTTTAACTCCTTGGTGATAAGTTTAATAGAGGATTCCATGCTCCCAACTCTTCAAGAATCTAAAGAATCTTATAAGAATCTAAAGCATTTTATATGCTTGTGATTTTATATCATGTTAGAAAAAAAAACTCTTTCCTCACAAAGGAATCTAAACCTTTTTTAAAATACAGAAGTTAAGCCTGAGGAGAGAAGACATTTTGAGTCTCACATTCAGAATGGAGTATCACGTGACAAACTAAGATTCACAAAGGTAAGGCCCATGCTTTACTCAATTTTATAATGCCAGGCACACAATTTGTGCCCAAGAAATGTTTATCAAATCAATGTCTTTTCAATCCATCAGCAGAGGGAGGTAGTACCCTAAAGAAAAACTAATCAAAGAAGAAAATCAAGTCAAGCAAATAAAAAAAAAAAAAAACAAATATGGCTGGGAATACAAATCATGTCTCAATAGTAACCCTGAATGTTAATGACTTAAACTCACCAATCAAAAGACATAGGCTAGCAAATTGGATTAAAAAAAAAAAAAAAAAGACCCAACAACATGCTGACTCCAGGAGACTCATCTGATAGGAAAAGACATACACAGATTGAAGGTGAAAGGTTGGGAAAAAATCATACCACTCACATGGACTACAGAAGCAAGCAGGGGTTTCCATCCTCATATCAAATAAAGTAGACTTCAAGCCAAAGTTAATCAAAAGGGATAAAGAATGACATTACATACTGCTCAAGGGAACCATACACCAATAAGACATAACAATGAAAAATATATATGCCCCAAACAATGGTTCAGCTATGTTCAAACAAATTCTTCTCAAGTTCAAGAGTCAAATTGATCAGAACACAATAATCTCCGGTGACTTTAACACTCCTCTCTCACCACTGGATAGATCTTCGAAACAAAAGTTGAATAAAGAAACTATAGAATTCAATAATACAATCAATAACTTAGACTTAACTGACATATATAGAATATTTCAACCTGCATCAAGCAGATATACTTCTCAGTAACATATGGATCCTTTTCTAAAATATACCATATACTATGCCACAAAACAACTCTTAGCAAATACAAAAAAGTAGAAATCTACCATGCATTTTATCAGATCATAATTGAATGAAATTGGAAATCAATGTCAAAATAAAAATTATTCCAACACCTGGAGACTAAACAATATGCTACTGAATGAACAATGGGTTGCAGAAGACATCAAAGAGGAGATTAAAAGATTCTTAGACATAAATGAGAACACAGACACAATATATCTAAATTTCTGGGACACTAAGAGCAAAGTTCATTGCATGGAGTACATTCCTTAAAAGAAGAAAAAGTCAACAAATAAATGACCTCACTTTACATCTCAAAGCCCTAGAAAAAGAAGAACAAATCAACAACAAAAAGCAGTAGAAGGCAAGAAATAATTAAAATAATTAGAAATCAAATAAAAGAAACAATTGAAAAATTAACAAAACTAAAAGTTGGTTCTTTGAAAAAATAAATAAAATTGACAGACCCTTAGCTACACTAAGGAGGAGAAAGAGAACTCAAATTATCAGCATATGTGATGAAAAAGGTAATATCACAACAGACACTACAGAAATACAAAGGATAATTAGAAATTATTTTGAAAACTTATACTCCAATAAAATAAAAGATTGAAGGAAATGACAAATTTCTTAAATCATATGACTTGTCCAGATTGAATAAGGAAGATATACACAATTTAAACAGACCAATATCAAGTGATGAAATAGAAGATGCCATCAGAAACCTACAAACCAAGAAAATCCCAGGACCGGAGAGATACACAGCTAAGTTCTACAAGACCTTTAAAGAAGAATTAATACCAATACTCTTCAATTTATTTCAGTAAATAGAAAAAGAGACAGCACTGACAAACTCATTCTATGAGGCCAATATCACCCTGATTCCAAAACCAGGCAAAGACACATCAAAGAAAGAAAACTTTAGACCAAAATATTTAATGAACATAGATGCAAAAATTCTCAATAAAATTCTGGCAAATCAAATACAAAAACAAAGATCGTGCAGCATGATCAAGTGGGATTCATCCCAGGGATACAAGGTTGGTTCAACATACAGAAATCAATAAATGTAATTCATTACATCAATAGACTCAAAGATAAGAATCATATCATCATCTCAATAGACACAGAAAAAGCATTTGACAAAATACAGCACCCCTTCATGTTCAAAACACTAGAAAAACTAGGGATAACAAGAACATATCTCAACATCATAAAGGCTGTTCTATGGTAAGCCCCAGACCAACATCATTCTAATGGAGAAAAATTGAAGGCACTCCCTCTAAAAACTGGAACAAGACAGGGATGCCTTCTATCACCACTTCTATTTAACATAGTTCTTGAAACACTGGCCAGAGCAATTAGACAGATGAAGCAAATTAAAGGGATACACATGGAAAAAGAAGAACTTAAATTGGCACTATTTGCTGATGATATGATTCTATACCTGGAAGACCCAAAAAGCTCCACCAGAAAACTTCTAGAATTAGTAAGTGAATTCAGCAAAGTAGCAGGTTATAAAATCAACACCCATAAATCAAAGGCATTTCTGTATATCAGTGACAAATCCTCAGAAAGGGAAATGAGGAAAACTATACCATTCTCAATAGCTTCCAAAAAAATAAAATAATTGGGAATCAACAAAAGAGGTGAAAGATCTATACAATGAAAACTACACAACCCTAAAGAAAGAAATAAAAGAAAACCTTAGAAGACAGAAAGATCTACCTTGCTCTTGGATACACAAACTATCAAAATGACTATACTTCCAAAAGCACTATACAGATTTAATGTGATTCCGATTAAAATCCCAATGGCATTCCTCAGAGAAGTAGAAAAAGCAATCATGAAATTCATCTGGAAAAATAAGACACCCAGAATAGCTAAAGCAATCCTTAGCAGGAAGAGTGAAGCAGGTGGCATCACTATACCAGACCTTAAACTGTATTATAGAGCAATAGAAACAAAAACAGCATGGTTTTGGCACCAAAACAGACTGGTAGACCAATGGTACAGAATAGAGAACATAGAGAATGACCCACAAAATTCCAATTATATTAGACAAAGGTGCCAAAAACATGCATTGGAGAAAAGATAGCATCTTCAACAAATAATGCTGGGAAAACTGGAAATCTATATGCAATAAAATGAAATTAAACCCCTATCTCTCACCATGCACAAAACTCAACTCAAAGTGGATCAAGGACCTAGGAATTAAACCAGAGACTCTCCATCTAATAGAAGAAAAAGTAGACCCTAATCTTCATCA